TTGTCGTTGATACGAACAAAGGCAAAGTTGCTCCATGGCCCTGGGTGAGAGGGAGGAGGAGGAAAAGGCCTCCCCATACCGATGGCTGAGGCTTCCCTGGTGCACTTGTCTTCTGCCTGGAGTGATTTGCCCTGCAGGGGACATTGGGAACACCAGAGACAATTTTGGTTGTCATAACTGTGGGGCGTGGGGGTGCTACTACTAGCCTCTGTGGTCTTAAACATCCTACCACGGAGTGGACAGTCCCCCTCCACAAAGAGCTATCCAGCCCAGCTGGCAGTGGTGCTGAGGTTGGACACAGGGCCCTGCAGAGGGTTGTCCTCACCGTTGTCACAGCTGCTTTTCTGCTTTCAGAAAAGGGCTCCCCAAGCCTAGGCGTCCCACTTGGACTCACTGGTCCAGTATCAAGTCACGTCCCTGAGACCTGAAATCCCTGACCTAGAATGCAATGTGCTGGAATGTACGAGAAGCAGGGTGAGTCACCGGATCCCTCTTCAGTTCATTCCGCCCACAGATCCGTCCTTTGCAGACGCCCCAGAAAAGATTGCTTCTGAGCTGGCACCAATGGAAAAGTGACAGAGGCCCAGCAACAGGGCAGGACTGGCGGAGGCTCTGAGCACGTGATGGGCTGAGCTCACAAAGGGCCTGGGCGTTGGGTGGCTGAGGAAGGGGGGATAGTGCTTACTCATCCAGCCTCTCCAACTCCTCCCCACAAGGATTCAGCTCCTCTGAAGGTCACGAACGCCTCCTACGTGACCTACTTCAGCACCAAGAAACTGCAAACAGGAGCACGAGGGTCAGCAAACATTCCCCCCAAGGGAGAAGGTGACTTGGGAGAGCTGGATGGGGAAGCTTGCCGCGTCATCGGTTACGTAACTGCAGAAGGTGGACAAGGGCATCTGCAGGGTCGACACCTTGCAAACCAAAAATAAAACCACTAAACACGTACTCCCCAGGGTTCGTTCTTCCTGTTTACGTACCTGCTCTTCAACCCTGTGGTACAATACAGGCTGCTCCGGCTTCAACGTGAACGTAATCAAGTTATTTGCTACCGGTCCAAATCAGACATGGGCTCTGGTCTCCAATCTGCCTGCTTCGCTGTCCTGTCCAGGGTAAACGCTTTGAGACCAGCCTACATGTACTGTAACCTACCAGAGACCCTTGCCTGGACAGGGTTGGTGGCCATGTTATCATTTCCATCTGGCTGCCATGCAGGTGGGTCTGACTGAGCACCCCAGGGTCTGACCCTTACTTGTTACTAACTTTGTGAGACCAGTAAACTCCCTTTTTCCTTATAACTTGTTTTTGCTCCACACTATCAAATAATTCTTCATTTTCCCTTCTCCTGGCCCCTGGCACCTACCAATCTACCTTAGGTCTACTATGAATTCGATTATTCCAAGTACCACATTTAATGAAACTCGGGTTATTTTTTTGTTTTGTTTTTCTTTTTAAAAATGTAAGGGACATCTAAAAAAATTTTTAGAGATGTTTGGTATAGGGCATGTGTGCTCCCCAGAGAGAGAGACAGAAAGCGAGAAGTCACCTCCTAGTGGGGATGGCCATGCTGCAATCCCTTCTCCTCATTCTCCTCTCGGGATTTTGGGAATGCACTCACATGCGCCCAGCTTGAGTTTACGCCACCAGTTCCAGGACTTGAACTCTGGTTGACTATGTGGGAGTCCACTGACATAACCATTATGCCATCTGCTGGTCCTGACATCTGAAAGCATTATCTGTTCAATTTTATTATTATTGTTTTTCTAACTTGACCAGAAAGGAAAGTGAGAAAGCAAACTGACCGATACGGGACTCAAGCCATAGTCCCCCATGCTGCAAACCTGAACCCCAACCACCACAACACCCACTAGCCCCAAACTTTTTCTTTTTTTGAAGAGGTTTTTGGTGTAGGTCATGTGCGTATGTGCCAGAAAGACATAGAGACAGAAAGTGAGAAATCAACCCCCAGGGGGGATGGCCACGCCACAATCCCTTCTCCTCCATTCTCCTCTTGGGATCTTGGGCATGCACACACGCCTGGCATGAGTTTAAGCCACTGAGTCTGGGACTTGAACTGTAGTTGACTACATGGGAGTCCAGCGACATACCATTACACCATCTGCTGTCCCTTTTGGGGTTTTCATATGTAAAATAAGTTAGGGGCAGCAGGTGGCATCGTGGTTAAGGGCATTGGATTCTCACATGGTTGAGAGCAGTTTAAGTCCCGGACTTGGCAACTTGCTTTCTTGCTTTCTCTCTCTCTCTCCTCGCTCTTGGTCTCACTATCTTGCTCTGTCCCTGGTCAAACTAAAATAAGTAAATAAATAAAATTAAATTAAAAAATTATATTTATACACACACACACATATATATATACTTTATATATATATATATATATATATTTTTTTTTTTTAAGAGGTTTTTGCTATAGGGTGCGTGCGCTCGCCAGAGAGAGAGAGAGACAGAGAGATAGAAAGCGAGAAATCGCCTGGCATGAGTTTAAGCCTCTGGGTCCGGAACTCAAACCATGGTTGACTACATGGGATTCCAGTGACACAGCCATTATGCCAACTGCAGGTCCCAATAAAACATAATCTTAAAAAGAAAAAAAAAAGTAAAATTGAGGCTAGCATGTGGCATAATGGTTAAGGTGCTAGACATTCCCACATGGCCAACCATAGTTCGAGTCCCAGACTTGATGGGTTGCTTTCTCACTTTTCTTCTCTGTGTATCTGTCTTTCTCTGGTCAAATGAAAATAAATGAATGAATAAATAAAAGTAAATTTAAAAAAAATAAAGTTAATCATTGAACAAAACATTCTTTTCAAAGATTCACAGTTTTCAGACCAGCCAGTGGCATAGTGGCTAAGGTGGGTGGATCCCACATGGCTGACTACCTGGTTTGAGTCCAAGACCCAGTGGCTTAAAAAAACATTCCAAGCATGTGTGTGCATGTGTGCCCAAAATGCTGAGAGGAGAATGGAGAAGGGATTGCAGCGTGGTCATCCCCCCGAGTGGGTGATTTCTCACTTTTCCTCTCTCCCTCTTTCTCTGTCTCTCTGGGGGGGTTGCTTGTGCCCTACAGCAAAGTGGGGGGGGCAATGCCCAGCTTTCATAGAGAGCTCTGATTCCCAACACGAGCCTTTAACAGTAACAACTCCTTATGGCGTCTTTTTCCTCTAGCACTGTTTAATTATAGGAAACAAAGTAAGAAACATATCGTTAGTTTCATGCTAGGCCTGATAAGTTTATAAGTAACCCTCAAGATTTTGTTCCTTTAGACCTTGTTGACTTTAGAGAGAAGTGACCTTCACCGAAGCTCCTGAGAAGCAGGCGGTGTTGCCAGTGCGTCACCCCAACTAGTGAGTCATTTCACGAACTGAAGTCTCCTCACCTTAAAAGGAAAGCTTTAGGGAGACCCAGGTCCCTCCAGACCCAAGATTAGATGCCGTTTAGAAGATGAGGTCATGTTGAGGGGAGGAAGTCCTTGTCACCACAGATGAAGAACCGCACCTGTAGGATGCATCAGGACATCAGGAGCCCTTCTTTCCACAGAAGTACAGCTTTGATTTTTTTTAAAAAAGTAATTATTTAAAAAAAAAAAAAGTAATTATTTTATGGGACCAGCTGGTGGCATGGTGGTTAAGGTGCTGGACACGCTTGCTTTCTGATGTTCCTTCTCTCTCTGTCTTTCTCTGGACAAATTAAAAAAAAAAAAGTGAATAAATAAATAAAATTAAATACACAATTCTTTTTTAAAAAAGTAATTCTTTTATTATTATTATCATTGCTATTTTTTAATTTGATATAGCACTCACGAATAGAAAGTAAGAAAGCAAGCTGCCAGGTCCAGGACTCAAACTATGGTTGGTCATGTGAGACTCCAGCATCTCAAACAACATGCTCCATGCTGGCCCCACAGCTTTGATTTTTAAAAAGGGTTTTTTACTTGATTTTATTCATTCACTTTAATTCCACCAGAGAGAAGGTGAGAGGGCAAGCCACCAGACCCAGGACTTGACCTGCAGTCAGTCCTATGGTGGCCCAGCACCCTTAACCACCACACCATCTGCCGGCCCCACAAAATCAAACACAGAAATAGAGCCAGAGGGGGCAAGTACTAGGGCAGACAGCGGACGCCGCCAATTGTGTCTGCTGGAGCCGTCCCATGAAGCAGGGCAGGGCCCGGGGCGGATGCTGCTTTGCCTTGGATGGCTCCCTCTGAACACGGCTCTCCTGAGAGCACGAGGGAAGCACAAGGCCCGCCCCGGGACGCCCTGCACACTGGACCCCCCCACCATGGCCCGTCCTGGAGGCCTTTATTCAAGTCCCAGCGTGACTCCTCTGCTCACTTGGACGGGGGTGGCCAGGTTAGGGCTTGCTTCTCCATTTTTCTGCTAATTGCCACCCTTCCCTCTTGGAATGCTAGGGATTTCAGAATAGCAAGATCCTGCCCAGTGTGGAAATCCCAGCTCCAAGGAATGGCTGGAATGTGAGTTCATAAAGAATGAAAGGACAAGTTTATCTGGGTGCAAACATTTCTGGAAACTCATGCAGTTTTATTTGTTTATAATGTGCATGAGACTTGGAATCCCATCCACAATGCTTTAGTAATAGTAAAAAAAGAAAAACAAAAACACAGACTTGAAAAATGAAGTGGAGATGCCGGGGATCGAACCCGGGGCCTCATACATGCAAAGCATGTGCTCTACCACTGAGCTACATCCCCTACCCCTCCTGCTTTGCTTTCTAAAAATCTCTGCTATACTCATATTTTTAAAGGATTTTCCTTAAATCAAGGTTTATATTTTAAATGGATGTCAGAAGTCAGCAAAAGCAAACTAAAAGAAATAATTTAATGTTTTCCCAAGTAAGCCCGTGCCTTTTAGCCTTTCCACTAAAATCTCAGTGGATTCCAGAACCAGGGAACAAACAAAATTTGACCTATTCATGAACCTTGCTCGTCGCAGCGCAGGGAATGAAAATGTTAATAGCTTCTTTCTAATAAATTGGGGTGTTGGCCCGAGTGTGCCTCCACCCAGAAATCTCTTGCTTCTAGTCCTCTAGAGCCATTTCAGCCTTCAGGGACTTTGAGGTTTGGAGAGCGGGTTGAAGACTTCTTTTTCGCCTCCAAAGAAACGTTCTGAGTATAAACCCCAGCAAGCTGGGCCGGCAGGTGGTGTGGTGAAGGTACTGGGCACTCCTACATGGCCGACCACGAGTCAAGTCCTGGACCTGGGGACTTGCTTTCTCACTTTCCTTCTCTCTGTGTGTTTGTCTTGCTCTGGTCAAATGAAGATAAATGAATAAATAAAATTAAGTAAATAATTCTTTTTTTTTTTTTGAGAGGTTTTTGTTATAGGGTGCGTGCGCTCGCCAGACAGAGAGAGACAGAGCGACAGAAAGCGAGAAATCACCCCCACCAGGGGGATGGCCACACCGCAATCCCTTCTCCTCTCTTCTCCTCTAGGGATCTTGGGCACGCACGCACATACGCCCGGTGTGAGTTTAAGCCTCCGGGCCCAGGACTCAAACCACGGTTGACTACATGGGAGTTCAGCCACATAGCCATTACACTAACTGCTGGTCCCATAAAATTAAGTAAATGATTCTTAAAAAAAAAAAAAAAAGCTAACAAAACTCAGCAAGCTAAACAGGGACAGCTCCCAATCTCGGGATCAGGGCTTCCAGGGGCTTCCTCTGGAGGAAGGCGACCGTGAAATGTCCCATGAAACAAGCCGTTCCATCACTGTGCCTGGACAGCTCTTGCCCAGATGCAGAGCAGCCGTACCCAG